TGTGTGTGTGTGTGTGTGTGTGTGTGAGTGTGTGTGTGTGAGTGTCTGTGTGTGTGTGTGTGTGTGTGTGTGTCAGTGTCTGTGTGTGTGTCATATCCAGCAGTTAGGCCATTCCTCATCAGGCCTGTGGGAGTTTCAGTAGATGTGTCTCATTAATTTGTGTAATCAGGTTGATTTGTCTGGAGGTCTCTGAGGGAGGGCAGAGGTGCGGGTCTGCAGGAGTAAACATAAGGCATTATGTTGCATTGAGGACAAGGAAAACTTAATGGTTTTCTATAAGCAAAATAGGATTTCAGATTTGTTGCCTTTGTGGGTGAAATATGAACTGGAGATGTTTTGGCAGGACCTCTTTTTCATGTTCAGGAGATGTTTTCATTTTTAAAGTACAACGCCAGTGTTAATTCATCAGTGTGCATTTGCTGTAGAGCTCCTCATGCTGTAATGCCAAGTGCATTTATATTTACAGACACGCAGGACTCTGGGCTCATCTCCTGTCTGTCTGTCTCTCTCAGAGTGAGAGCGAGGGAATGAAAGTGACAGGAAAGAGAGACGAGGACCCCTGCCTTCACACATGACATGTGTAATTAACTCATAGCGGCTCTAATCGCATCTGCACTGAGAGAGAGGAAGCAGAGCTTTGTGAAATGCTAATTTATATGTAACGATAACTCTTTGAATGACCTATTAAATGTACTTTATTGCTATGTACTCTCACTGCTTTCATAACTTTAGAGTTCATACATGTTAGTGAGAAGTGTCAACCTCTCTCTCTCCGGCTCTGTCTGTCTGTCAGTTCATGAATTGCTCTGTTTTCCCAGGGAAAACAATTATCGTATGATTACAGAACCCGTTAAATCTAATTTGGAGATTTGTGTCTTATAGTCCATATTTGTTGGCTTTGAGTTATATGCTAGTGTACTAAATGAAATATTTTCTAAATTTTTGTCAACTTAACTAAGAAAAGCGACTAAAGGACAAGGCTAAGATACCTTGTTGTGACTAAATTCTAAAGTACACCAGACAAGCAGTGGACTGCTATTCGTAGGCCATTATCTGCCAAAATTCTTATGCAAATGAGGAAGCTAATAGTAAGTTTGATTTGATATACTCGTTTACTTACAAAATTACAATTATTCAATCAATTAGTGTTTAAACCCCACCCACATCTCAACATCCAATCAACAACTGATGCATAGAACCAAGACTCCACCTTTAACTTTTTCTTTAAGGTTCTTTATATGTAGTAGGGGTGTAACGGTTCGCAAAATTCACGGTTCGTTTCGATACGACACAGTGGTGTCATGGTTCGGTGAAATATTGCGAGCCAATGGACATCACACACAAGCAACGTGCAAACTTTGCGCAAGAGTTACGTCGGTGAAGTCTTAATCTCAATCAATTCACTATATGCAGAAAGTGAAAGTAAAAACGGAATGACGGAGTAATGACAGAGCTTTCGGCATCTGACGTATTCTCTCAGAGACGACAAGACGAATCTACTTCAACATATGCTGATAATGGTATATAGCTAACTGTTTTCATTTATTCCCTTAATATTTCTAATATTACATAGTGACAAAAAAAATGAGAAGAAACATATTTCATGTTAAACAGGTTGTTTTTGAAAGTCGGTGCTTGAAATAAAAGCTTATTTCATTGATTTTTATTGATGACTGCAGTGTTAATATTTTAATTATAGGTTTATAATTCATTGTATAATGACCTGTTTAAAAAAAAACAACATTATAATTGAGGAGTAAATAACCTAATCTTTTGTTATCCTCGCAGCACGTCAGTTATTTGGTAATTATTGCGGGGCAAATTAATTGTAATTTTAATTTAATAGGCCTAATAAAAGTAACTTCATAATAATAATAATAATAATAATAGGCCTAGGCCTAGGCCTAATAAAAATAAGAATGTAACAGGCCTACATTAATTGGAAATGCCAAATATCTTAATATTGCCAACAATTGATGTTTTTACATACGATGATACAAGATCATCGTTTTTCGACGCACAGTCCCAGCAAGGGGAGGTTATCGCGGGGGAGACAGTGCGTTGCCTGTTCGTTTGGGCTGTCTTGTTGAGTGCAGTGGCACTGAGAACATCATATTTCACACACTTTAAATAGTTTTATTTTCCAAATGTAATAGGATTAGTCCAACGAATCGTTCGGTTTGTAATGCGCACCGAACTGAAAGCCTCGTAAGTATATATATATATATATATATATATATATACTTGCCAATTGCATGGTCGACCAAATATCGGCCTTGGAAGCATATTGGTCAACCACTAACTTAAATTTTATAAGAACAAAACAAGTTTAATAATGAATGAATGAATAAATGAATGAATGAATTCAATTCAATTCAAAAGCTTTATTATCTGTCCCCAATGGGGTAGAAAATTGTCTTTAGACAAAAGGCTCAAACACACAAACAATACAAATAATCATCACAGCAACACATTACATACAGTATATTAAAAAAAAACACACAACTATATTAATACATAATAAATTCATTTTAAGATCCTATTTAAAATACCAATCGCGGTTGGAATGAAGGTCTTCTTATACTTGGCCCTTTTCACTAAAGGCACCAGTAGCGGCTCCTGACCTTAAATTTAGGTGGGGCAGATTCTGGGTCATAGCGCTATATGAAAAACATGTTGTAATCTTTATATTCTAATCTCTGAACACATGGGGACACAATTTTGGCAGATATGCCCTTGCGTTATCCTGTGGGTGGCACGCTAATGTTGATTGACACGCTCGAAGTAATGTTACATGCATAAAATGCTGTATAATAAATGCCTGGCTTAAAATAGTATTTATCACCTCCAAATGTTGATTTAGAATGTTACAAGTTGTGGAGCAATTCGGGTGAGGAAAGTCAATCATATGTCTATTCTCAGAATAAACAAAACAAACACAACAGAACCATATAAAAGCTATTCAAGTGAGCACATTCAAACTAAAGGATTTTTACTTTGTTCATTTGATCCACTACTGCACATAGAAAAAAAAAACAGACATGCCAACTAGTTCCTGACCTGATGCAGACACATAGCTGAAGCGGATTGATATCGTCTTGGTGGAGCGAGGTTCACGTAAGGTAACGTGAAAATAAGCGGGGGAGTCTCAAATCTGCCCCAATGGCTCTCAATTAGAGCACGCTGCAGTTTCCCTTTTCGCCACAGATTTACGTTGCAAAATTGTGGGGTGCTGTTGAGCTCGGGAGGTCTCAGGCACCGTCTGTCCCGCTTAGTATCATGCATACATGCCTGTTAAAGCCATGCGTGGGATTTTAATATATACTGCTTACTTTACGACTTAAAATAGTCTAGAAAATCCGAAAAATATGTTGCTGAATGCTGAACACATTTACAATTTATAATTGATTCAGTTTATATAGAGGTCTATGTTTTGGATGGAAATTTTGGTGGGGCTCTGCCCATATAGACGAGCCGCGCTGCCAGAAGTAACTGCACTTTATACCGTCTGCCAGAAGTAAGTAACTGGAAAGAACTATACAGGGGATGAGAAGAGTCTCCCACAATAATAGAGGCTTTCCTTTTTAATGCCACAGTAAAAAGATCAGAAAGAGGTGTTTGTCTCTCACCAACTATTTTACTCGCCACATTTATAATCCTTAAAAAAGTTTGTTTTTGCTTTTAACAGAAAGAGAGTTGAACCAGGATACAATATTAAAAGTAAGAAAAGTAAGAATGAATGAATGAATGAATGAATGAATGAAAATAATAATTCAAGATGTCAGACAAGCCAAGAGACATGTTGATGGTATTTAAATCATTCAATACTGAAGGGTATCAAAAACAGTAGTTTTGTGTAATTAAAAGTAAGACTATGTATTATGTTTGTTATAGGTCTATTAGAGTATTCTGCCAGCTAACTCAAACTGGAGTGAAAATGTGAAATGTAATTCCCTCTTCTCTGTCCTCAGAGCCCATGCGTCCTCTCAGAGGACTGACGGCGTCGGAGATTCAGTCCCGTCAGCTGCTGCTGCAGTGGGAGCCGGTGGGCTACAACCTGACGCGCTGTCACACGTACTCACTGTCCCTCTGCTACCGCTACTCCACGGCCGCAGGGGGCGGAGCCGGCGGGAATAACGCCACGGTGAGGGAGTGTCTGTCGGTGGAGCGGAACACCTCCCGCTTCACGCTCCGGGACCTGCCTCCGTTCCACGCCGTTCACGTGCGGCTGGCGCTGGCCAATCCTGAGGGCAAGAAAGAGAGCCGAGAGGTCACCTTCCAGACCGAGGAAGACAGTGAGTATTCATTCATTCATTCCTTCATTCATTCATTCATTCATTCATTCACGCAGTGATGTTATGGGAATTACTGTACCTTTTTCTAACACTTTTCATTAAACTTTTATATATAATGCATTGTAAAAGTATTTTAAATTGTGCATTAAGTGTGCCTTCTAATGCACCTTATAATGTATTGTATAATCTCATGAATAATTATAAACAGTTATTATACATTATAATATATAATAGTCATTGTTACACCTTTGGAAAATATAATGCAGTAAAACATGGCTAACAGCCGATTTCAGATTTTCAAAAAAAATTGCAAATACAATAATGCATTGTAACTTTGGTTACAATTATTTATGAAAAGGTGTTACGCATTATAACTTATATCATGAATACCTTTGTAGTGCATTATAGTCTTCAAGTAAAGTGTAACTAGATTGTTTTGCATTATGGTGCCTTAAAAATCTTTGAAAACAGTTTTTTTTTTCACTACATCTACTATAATAACATTACAACTCCTCACTCCTTGATTTTGTATAATTTAAGTTACATAATCAATAATTTCGACATTTTAACTGTGAAAACCAGCTTTTAGCATGCGGGGGAACATTAACATTATTAAATCAAGCACTAAATGAACAGACCTTGTGCAGATGCATTCATAGAGGTTTTAATGAGTCAGTATTGTCTTGATTGAAAGCGCCATCATTTTCATTTCAAGGACTGTTTTGGTAAACTCATAACACAATGTATCCATTAGTGTTTAAGAACCGTTTTCTGCAGAACAAACTCTCAAACAGCTCAGTGAGTGTTTTCACTTCTGATAAAGAATCACATTAGTATACGCCATATCTGCATGTTGTTCGTAAACTCTCTGAGTTTGATTACATTTTCATTTACCCGGAGGTGTTTTTTTTTTTTTTTTTTGCACGGGTCAGTAGCCATAACCCATCCATCTTTGCAAAGACCTGTATTTATCTGAGCGATTATGATGTGGCGACTGCAGCAGGGCCCAGTTTGCCCGCAGTGCTCAAACCCCAATTATAGCAACAACACAAATATTGACTCACAGAACACCACGCTTCAGCATAATTAAATGGAAGATCATACTTGTAAATGGAAGTATATGAAAAATGAATAAGCTAAGGCCACCAGCAAAATGGAATAAAGTTTTTTGGCTTATTTTTGCATTTTTTATTTACGCCGTGTGTCGGGCGGCGCGGATTTACATTCTCATGCAAATGCTTTAAGATGAAACCCTCAGAGGTCAAGTGAAAACCTCCCCATCTGAAAAATGAACACGGCTCAGAATGAATGCTCGCCAATTTTTCATTTTCTGAAATTAAAAACATATTTTCTGTTGGTTTATTGTACAGCGATAGAGCTTGTTTGTGTTTGATGTGTTTGGTTAATTGGACACAACAGTTAATGAATGAATTAATTCGTCTGTAAAGCGTCTGTAGTTGGGAAATGCATGGAAAGTAAAGCTTTTTTGGTTAGATTCTGAAAGCTCGTGGACGACTCATTTTTACTACCGCTCTAGTCAGTGTTGACTTTATCTCAGCACATGCCATGCAGCATCAGCAGTCTTCTGCCAACTCCAGCGCTGTCAGAGACGCTTCAAAAAACACTCACGTCCCAGTTATGTAGAAGCCACAGTACCAAAATTGTTTACTGTACAAAATGAAATATCCCTTAAAAAGTGTTAGCGCTGGCGTGAACTGCATAAGCCAAACAATATGCCCAATTTATAAAATAACATATGCTGAATAAGAACATTTGACAGTTTTGTAAATGCACAAACAGCATTTACAGTCGTCAGAGTTTTGCAGCCAATAATTGAACACACAAAACAATAAAACATAATCAACAATTTGATTCAACTCAAAATACATCACATACCGTTTAATTCGATTGGATGCATTTTGACATCAACAGCAAAAGATATGGGAAGCGTTTTCTTCTCTCTTTTAAAAGTTGACAAGCTTATTTAATTTGTTATTTAGCATTGTTTTCTGGTTGCACTTTTATTTTACGGTACATGCACTTACAGTCCACTTCCCCAAGAAGGTACTAAGTAATATAAGGTAACTACAATTTATAATTTGCTGCTTATTGATAGTTCGTAAGGTAGTTGTTAAGTTTAGGTGTGGATTAAGGGATCTAAAATATGGTCATGTAGAATAAGACATTAATATGTGCTTTATTAGTACTAATAAACAGCCAATATGCTAGTAACATGCATGCTAATAAGCAACTAGTTATTAGTGAGAATTGGTCCTTAAAATAAACAACAACAACAATAATAATAATCAACTAAAATCATGTGATCTGTGACTAGTTTGCACAGACACTACGTCTAGATTTCAGTGATTCTTTTGATTCCATTAGCAAGGTAGTACTTCTGTGGAAAGGGGGGAAAGAGTAGACAATATGTCCTTAATTGCAATCATGCCTTGAACTGAGTTTGTCTGAGAGCCGTCTGTGAAAAAAAAAAAAGCCTCGTGTGGCATATTCCACTTTTTTCAAATAGCTGGCATTGATGCATTTTCACAGTAATATCAGTTGCTGTGTGCCACATAACAAACATCTATAGGTGCTGTCTACATTCACCTGCGTTTATGTTGTATGCTTAGGCCAATAATTGCTTTTCGCAGTTATATTTGTATCAAAAGAACCAATTTTGCACTAGTTCTAAATTCCCATCTGTGTTTGCATGAGGGAAATCATCTTTCCTTAACACTTCTGCCCCCTTTTCTCAACGCTATCCACGTCTCTGCATTTGAATACTGCAGTCAGTCTTTCTATAGCTCGTAGCATTCACTATCGCCTAAGTTTTCCAAACTTTCGATCCCTAATGAGATGACTCCAGCCTGTAGCCATGCTGGATGACTGTGGCCTGGTTGGAAGTTAGATCCCTTTTTCTCTCTTAAAAATGAGTCTAGCACATTGATGTATCTCTTTCTCTCTGTCTCTCTTTTGCAATCTGCCCTATTTCTTCCATACGGTGTGTTGGTAAAGAAGACAAATCGTCTGCCGTGGCGTCTACCGCTGCGCTCAGATATGAGATGTGTCTGTGGTCTCTTCCCCTCTCTTGTAGTCTGGGTGTCATCTCACCTCCACCTGTGGCATCTCCACCTTCATCTCAGCTGCGTCTGATACTCTGTGTTTAGTAAGATTGATCTGACCGTACTCTATGATCTGACTCTTTCCTCGTGTTTCCTACAGTCCCAGGAGGCATTGCACCCGAATCTTTGACCTTCACCCCATTGGACGATATGATCTTTCTGAAGTGGGAGGAGCCGCTGGAGCCCAATGGTCTGATCACGCAGTATGAGGTACTGTAGTGTGTGTTATTATTTACAAGGCATTGTAAATGGAAAAATGGAAACTAACAAAACATAAGGCTAAATAACTGGTGCATATCAATGTAATATTTAGCATTTAAATACATCTGAAGTGGTGTTTATACCATTTAAAAATATATGATTTATATGTTTTAATGTGACACAGAGACAATGTAGATATATTTAAATATATCATCAAAAAGACCCATTACTACCCTTGTGAAAAAGACTTTAGTATTTAAACACATTACTTGTTTCGGAAATAATATATTAAAAGACTGAATGTAAGGTTTGTGGACACTTAATTGCAAGCTATTTGCATTAAAATGAAAATGTATTGTATGTTATATATTAAATGCAATTAGCTTACTTTGAGTGCTTTTTGACTCACTTAAGTAGGAGTTAATTATATATTTGGTTACACTTTATTTCGATAGTCCACTTTAGACATTCTATTAACTATAAGTAACTTTGTAACTACATGTCAACTAATTCTCATTAATTTGCAACTAGATGTCTACTAACTCTCAGAGTAGACTGTTAGGGTAGGTTTAGGGTTAGTAGAATAAGTTGACAAAGAAAGTGTTAGAAGATATTAAGCAGACAGTCTACTAATACTCTACTAACTGCTAGTTGACATGTAGTTGCAAAGTTACTTACTGTTAATAGAATGTCTAAAGTGGACTATCGAAATAAAGTGTTACCATATATTTTTATCTAATATCATAAATATTTTTGTATTGTCTTTGAAATGTGGTAACAATTAAATTGGTAAATCAAGTATACTATTATTGGTAAATTAATTTTACTTTCATGTGATTTTCTTTTGAAACTTGCATGCGATGTTTATAAATGTGCAGTATTTGTAGTTACGCGTTTGTAAAGAAGTTGCAACTTAGCTCATTTTAATTATAGTAACTTCAAATGTAATATTGAATAACACACGACAGTTTACATTATAATCAAATACTTTACATGTGCTTCATGCAGTATGTTAGTCAAAACAAGTGCACTTCTTTAAAGCATGACAAAAGATTTTTAAAACATGATTTAATTTGACATGATTACAAAGTGCACTTTTTAAAGATGTTTTTAAGTGTTAAGAAACAGTCATCAAAGTGAGTTCTCTTTAAGTACACTTAAGTGGCCTTTACTTTCATTCATTTGATATTATCTGCAAGCACAGTAAAAAAAACAAAAAAACAGATTTGAAGTACACTACAAGTGCCAATTCAGTACAGTTAAGTGCACTTCATTTTCACATGGGTATTTGCAGACAAAGCCTTGTTGGTGTTTTCCAATATGTGTGTGTGTGTCTGTGTGTGTGGAGAGAGGTCTGACTGCACTGTGAAATGCTGCTCCCCCCCCCTTGTTAGATATTGAATTGCAATGTTAATGAAAGGGGCAAATATTGGTGCAATGTTGTGAAAAAAGATTCAGGGACACATTGTACTGATGACGCACAGCTTATGCCGCATTTGAATCAGTTGAGTGAGGCATATTTTAGTTTAGCTGTAATGCAGAATCACATGTTCAGACAGAATTTGAATTTGGCTGGGTAGAGATTGGTTGAGGGGATTGTCTAAACTTTCCGGGTTTGTTTTTGTCCCTCGTCCTCCCTCTCAGTCAGCAGTCATTAGCGTGTGTAAACTCTCACTCTCACTTTTCACAGAGTCTAGGTGTTCTTATGCTAATCATGTTGTAGTTCATTCTCCAGGCTTTAATTAGTCGGGGACAAACATAATTGCTTATTTGCCTCGCAGAGACTGTCGGATGGGGCGATTGTGTTTAAGTGCTTTAGTCTGGTAATATTTCACTGCTCAGCTGTCAGCATGAACACATGTAAGCGTCTGCTTACGCTCCGCGCTCGTTTGGGAGTGACGTGTGTAGCTTTACTTCACTCTGCTGTTCGTTCTCTTGATGGATTTGGTAATGATTTCTCAATGGGGGATATGCTGCCCCAGCATTTTCATAAAAAGTAGTTTCAAACTGGAGCGTGTAATTTGTGTTGATGGATCTTGAGAGGGATAATGAAGTATCGCTGCACAGCTAAATTCTGCAGATTGGTCATTAATGTTGTTTCAGAGCAGTAGTTCTAACCAAACCAAACAGTGAGTGCTATTTGAACAATCGTCTTTAAAAAGTGACTTTTCTTTAAATCGTCTTTAAGAAGTTTTTCTTTCTTTTCTTTTCTTTTCTTTTTTTTTCTTAAAAAAATGTTCATCTTATATTGTTAGAGAACTACAAAAAAGCCATATAAAATGTAACACAACCACATTATGAATAATATTATTATGAATATTGTTATGAATAATATTATTATCATCATCATCATCATCATTATTATTATTATTATCATTATTATTATTATTATTATTATTATTATTATTGTTGTTGTTGTTGTTGTTTCCCCATCCTTTGTAATTTCATCCTTAATATCCTTATGCAGAGTTTTTCTGACCCTTTATTTCTGAGGGTTCATGGCCTCCAACAAAAAAAAATATTTCATAGAAATGGGAAATTAGACATAATCAATTCATAATAATTTAAAGCTTTTTTGGGGCACTCTTGAATAGGAAGCTACTGCTTTTATTTATTTATTCATTTATTTACTTGAACAGGGAGCTACTGTATTTCAATGAGAGGTTCATGGTTTCATGGTATGTCAAATTTATGTTTCACGTCTACAAAAGTTAAAAGTTATCATTGGTACTTAAATCAGCTCCTTCAGCCGTAATGTGATCGTTAGTTTTAATGGATTGGTGGCTCAGATGAAAACCAAAGAGAGAGAAAGCTGGGTTGTGCACCAACTGAATTGAGAATTGATTTAAATTCAAATTCAGTTCTAGAATCAAAGTTGACCTGACATAGTGAATATTATACAAAATTGCAGTTTGGTTGGAGTGTAAGGAAAATTAATCAGAATTCAAACAAATTTAAAACATGCAACTTTTAATTAAAAGCAGAGACACATTTAATATTTTCTTGATAAAGGCTTGTTTGAAAGTTAAAGAAAGTTTTTTTTTTAAAATTGACATTTTAGGTTTATTTATTATAGACAGAGAAAACAATAGATTGATATGATTCAATATGTCAGTTTTTCTGCATCAAACTGGAACAGCCTCTACTTCGGATGACTCTTTATGATGTAAATAGAGAGGATAAACGTTGTTTAAGCCTTCTTGCAAGTTCTTGTGCAATATTCATTTTATTAAATTTTTCATCTGAGTTAATTATGAGTCACACTTTGTACAGTAGATGGCTTCCCTGACTTCCCTGAAGAGTATTGCAGATTCTTCAAACAGTTTGTAGTTGACACAGTAATTTTAAATCAGAAGTGTAAACTACCAGTGCTAAAATAGGGGATTTCATTACACCTTGAAGTGTTTATATGTTTCTGTAGGGATGCCATTCAGGTCTGAAGCTCAACATCAGAGACAGAAACATTTAACTGGTCTAAAACAAATGATGTACATTTTCTTACATAATTTTTCAAATGCATATATCTGAGAAATATTATTTTATTGTTTATCACGTTTCTAATGGCAAGTTAATCCTTTTCCAGCCCTTTCACCCTGCTCAAGTTAGGTATGGCTTTATTAGTAGACAATTTATTATATTCAGCTGGGCTGGATTCTTCACAATTTCTTCACAGACATGCGGAGTAGGAATTTCGTAAATTTGCTGCTTGTGTTACCAATTAGTCCCTTTATATAAGCTTTGATAGCCACCCATCTAGTCAAAAAAAAAATATTTTCTCGACAAATTTGAGGAATTTTACATTGTGTAGACATAAACTTTAATGTGTGATATGACTAGGTTTGCCCCTGACTCAAAATGTTTCTAGTCGACTAATAGTTGTTCATTTAAACTAGGGCTGTCAGTTTAATGTGTTAACTTAATTAATTAGTTATGAAAAAATAACGCGATTAAAAATATTTTAACGCAGTTAAGGCACTGGCCCCGCCCCCAGACCTGTACGTCATCTTGCATTTCATACAGTTGACAGTTGACAAATATGATGCAGGGCAACAACCCCATAAATGCAGTTATGCCCTAAAATTCAAGATATTGGTGCAAAAAATGCCCCTGTATGAGTTTTTGTGTCAAATTTATATCATACGATAAGCGATATCACACGAGCAGCGAGAGCAATATCAGACGAGTGCTGTTTATGTCCGAATACCACGAGTGCAAATGTGATTTTACACAACAGTTCAGTAAATAAGAAAATGGTATTGCGTTATATTTTAAACACAATATTACGTGGTTTTGCTCAATTTTGCAAATAATATATTTTACCTTTAAAGTCATGGCAGAATTGTTCTGCGTCTCCGAGCAACACAGCGGTGTTTAGTTTCTGAATGAATCCATGTTTTGAATGAATCGGGTGAACCAATCGATGTTTCAAAGACCCATTCATAGAGAGACCCGTTTACTTCATTCCTGAATGAATCAGCCATTTGAACGAATTAATGACTCATAAAGACATTTACCACCACCTGTTGGCAGATTTATTTCTTATTTTTAGATAAAAATAATAATAAAAACATTAAAGGGGTCATATGATGTTTTTTTAAAGATCATTATTTTGTGTATTTGGTGTAACAGAATATGTTGACATGCTTTAATGTTCAAAAAACACATTATTTTTCAAATACTGTACATTATTGTAGGTCCTCTATGCCCCGCCTCTCTCAAACACTTCGTTTTCTACAAAGTCCCTCCTTCTGACAAGCGCAGTCTGCTCTGATTGGCCAGCTGACCCAGTGCATTGTGATTGGCCGAACACCGCAAGCACTCGTCTGAAATGTAATGCCCCTTACCATAACCGCGAGTTTCAGCTTTCAAAATAAATGTAAAGACAGTAAATAATGTCATTAGACTTCAGCTTTTGTAAAGACAGTAAATAATGTCATTAGTTTTACCATCAGTTCAAGCCCGAAAGGGGAACAAGGGGAACAGACAGACACAGTGAGGAAGCTGGTTTGTGTTTGCAGTACACAAGCCACGGTTAAGACAGCTGACGTGCTATGATTTCTGACACCCAGCTCACTCTCCTGTGATGTGACCCTGTTCCCCACACACACACACACACACGACGCGATACTCTACACGGCGCAAAACTCCGCATTTGAACAGTCAATAGCAAATACTTAAACTAATAACAAAACAGTAGCTGATTCAGAAGCGCCAGATTGTCATAGCAAAGTCAGAATTACCTCCTCTCCTAGGTTCACGAAACGGTCGTCCATAAAATGCATTGCTGTTCTGTTGTAAGTAATCTTAAAGATTCCTAAATGCATCTACTTCCGGAAGGCCAAATAAAGTGCTTTTGCTTTCGCCTAGAAACACACAGCATCTCCCTGACATAGCTGCTTCAACACTAACTGCGTTACTGAAACCACGCCTTCTTTCTTTGCATGCACATTTGGGCGCATTATGCAAATATTCCCACATAGTGACCTAGATATGTGGGGGCGTGTTAGAACGAGCCGTTTTAGGGGGGCGTGGCAGAGTCTTAACTTTGATAAAGAATATCTCTTTGGTTTTGAGACTTTAGTCTTTGCAACTTCAGGGATCTTATCTATGCACAATCAGCTTGTAACACTCCAAAGAGAAAGGAAAACTTGAAAACGCATCATATGACCCCTTTAAATTAACATGAAAAGAAACCTAAAATGCTTATAGCCTGCAAATATTCACCTGTGACACATATTGTAAATGTGGTTAGATGTTGCATGACAACCAAACAGCAACGTACAGTCTGATATAGATGATTGTTTGCTCCTTTTTTCTTGCTGGTTTCCTTTATCAGATGCTTTGTAATTGGTGTATTATCACTTTTATCACTCTACTGTTCCATGACATTGGAATGGAAACTTAGTTCTGTGTAGTATTTCTGCATTCCAGTATCCCTATACTAATATTACAATTTCAAAAAAAAATAGTACATGATTTATTTCTTGTTGTTTTCTTGGTCGTGCGCCATTGGTTTTTGGACTTTCATGATTGCCCTATTGTGGTATTATATGAAATTATCACTTTTCAAAATGACTATAATTCCAAAGAAAGTTTTTTTTTTACATTATAACAATTAACAAATAAATAACATAATTAATATTATGTAGTTAGTAAATGTAACGTTGACTACTTTGTTGTTGTTGTTGTTATTATTATTATTATATACTTGCACACACGCCCACCCCTCAAAAGGCTGAAACCACAGAGCCC